GTTTTAGCGTCAGTGACAAAACTACAAATTGTAAAACTAGCAAAACCAGTAACCTAACAGACTTAAAAAACAAACAAACAAATGGAGATAAAAAATAAATAAATATATATTATTATTTATTTTCAACCCTACTTGTCCTTGCATGAAGCCAACAAACGTGTCAACTTATTTGTTTGTATTTCAAGCTGTTGCCATCAAGCGGATGCCTAGAAATTAATTTATCATCCAAACTGCTGCCATCAGAAAATGTTGCTAGCAAAAACCGTATTTTCCAGGCTATAAGTCACTTGGGAGTATAAGTCACACTGGCCAAAAAAATGCACAATGAAGAATAAAAAAAAACATACTCATATAAGTCGCTCCAGAGTACACGCAGCACCAGCCACCTGGGGTGCACTAGAGTAGCAGATACTGGTACACAAGCCAAGAGTGCCCTCTAGTGGCTGTCAGTGTAAAAATAACAAACACGTCAACTTATATATTTTAAGATATAAGTCGCACCTGGGTATAAGTCGCTAACCCAGCCAAAGGATGAAAAAAGGTGCAAAATAATCTAGAAATTACAGTAGTTGTTGCTGCGTTGACTCATAAATGACAAAAGTCGAGCCACATTCAAACCTTGTCACTTCATTTTGGTTAGAATTCCATCGAACACCTGCATTTTTAGTTGTCTGTAATTGTTTATACGGGAAAATATGAAGAGGAAGAGTAGTTAAGGAAATGGAAATGGAATGGAAAGTTAGAGTTAAAACTACCTAGAATTTTGAAAAACACCAAGTTAGGAAATTCACTAAATTACTAAGTAGTAAATTAGTAAAGTAGCAAAACACAAGCACACACATATAAACACAAGGCCAGGACTATAACTCAGCTGTCCTGACCAAGGGGAAGGGAAGGGGAGAGCAGAGAGAGAGAGGGAGGGAAGGGAGATGAGGGAGAAAGAGGAGAGAGAGGGATGTGGAGGAGGGGAGGATGGATGACAGGGAGGAGGAGGGAGAAGACACTCTGCCCTGCTCCAAGGTCAAGCTTGTCATGTCAGCCATGACACATCGCTCCCAGCATGCCTTGTTAACCTCCAGGACCTGCTCCCTTTCCTCCTCCTCTCCTCTCTCTGTGGTTGGATCTCCTCTTCTCCCTGAACCAGCCTTTCTCCTCTTTTTAATTTGACTTTTCTCCTTCTTCTTCAATGTCTAATAGAACTTTTAAAATAAATAAAATGAATAAATGTGTTTCTAATTGTCAGTGCTCCGTTTATTCTGTGAGGGAAATCATTCTTTGCATTTAATACTAGTCGTAGTAGTGGTGGTTTGGTGAGGTGGTGACAAAGGTAGTAGTAGTTGTAGTTTATGTCGAACATGTGAGATAAAGAATCATACTGTGGTGACAGAGATGGGTTTTAAATTGGTATCTGTATTTGTCTAAATGTATTTTGAAGTCAACAGGATATGACTGGTGATATTAGAAGAAAAGTGCAGAACAAAAGAAGAGAAAACCTCCTTCAAACAAAAAAAAAACAGTAGATACATAAAAATTTAATTTAAAAAAGTTTAAGGACTGAACAGTAAAAAATTATAAATATATATAAGAAAGAAAGAAAGAAAAAGGCCAGAAAAGAGAAGAAGAAATGTCAATAAGAAAGGCAGAAGGTAATAAAAAAAAAGGCAGAAATGAAGAGAAAAACAACAGAATAAAAATACCAAAAGAAAGACGGCGAGAAAGAAGGCAGCGAGAAAGGCAGAAAAAGATACACAGAAATGTGAGGAGAGAGGCAGAACAAAGGTAGAAAGAAAGAGACACGGAAAGAAAGAAAAATCAAAAGATGTTTAAATTGAAAATACACAGAGAGTGAATCAAGCAATCATGAAAACAAGCAGAAATAGACCGAGAAAATGTGATGAGAGGCAGGTGAAGAGACAAGAAGGTAATCCAGACGGTCAGAACAGAAGCAGAGGAAAGTATCTAACAACAGCAGTTCGATGAAGGAAACAACGGGAGGCAAAAAAAAAGACGCTTGACATAGAGAATAAACTAAAAAAAAAAAGAGAAACGAGAGCAAGAGGTAAAGGCTGACCACTACTGAGTGATCAAAGAAACAGCTGCTCCTCTCACCGATTGACCCTCAAACACTCAACAATACCACTGACTGTGTTTTAATCCACTGTGTGTGAACATCCATGTGTTAACTGTGTGTGTGGTGAGGGTGTTTAGCCCCACTCCACCCCTGAGTAAAGGAGGGGGTACGTTTTGGTACCCAGCCTCGGTGCCTCTCTGCTGGGTAGCTCTGAGATAAAAGCCTCAGGTTCTTCCTCCGCTACTCTTTCGTTTCTGTGACTAACGTGGTTTCTGCGGCCCGGGTGACATTTGTTATGATGTGACCTGAACGATCCAATCACAACGGTCTTTGATTTGTCTAATTTATTCCTTCCTGAAATTTAGGATCAAAATTACTCTCCACTGTGGGATCTAGAAAAACAGGAAGCAGAGAAGAAATGAATATTCCATGAGGAGAAGGATGTGATGGTCTTGTCACTACAGAAGCTACAGAATCCACAGCTAGAAGCTGTGTTTTTCTTCAATTCACACGAGTACATCAGCGTTATGTTCAACTAAACAGGCCCAGGTTCACCCACACTCTGTACAGAAATTGTGAGTTAATTGAAATTAGGAGATGATTTTATTTCATTAAATATACTTTTTGTGACATTATTGTGTGGCGCTTTGGCCCAGAGGCAATGTCTCTGTCATTGGTGTGGAACCCCAGCGTTCACCTCCTGGGCAAGATCGGTTGGTACCTTCCAGTGGACTCACCACCCGCAGGAAGGTTCAGGGGGGTTGGTACGGTGCAGTGTGATTTGGGTGGCGACTGCTGCCCCCGCGACCTGGTAACGGATAAGCGGATGAAAATGGATGGGTGGATGGGTGGATGGATGGATGGATGGATGGATTTTCCAGGTGTAACAACATGGGTATGTGTGAAAAGCTTCTCTAACTGACCATTTAATGCACGTGAAGGTCACTATGTATCTGTATATTAACGCACAAAAAACCCGACGACAGTTTTTACAGAAATCTCCACGCGACAGTTTTGTAAAATACTGTGTTTTCATAAAACAATGAATGGTGCATGACGACCTGTTTAACTCTGAGTGCAGGTCAACAACACCCACAACTGCTGTTTCCTTTGTCTTTTAAACACTTGCAGGAAAAGGTCAGTGTGTGTGTGTGTGTGTGTGTGTGTGTCTTTAGCTCCATGCTGTGCCACTGGAACTCCCACACAGGCTCAGTGACATTTTCCAGGCACTAAAAGCTAATGGATAAGTACAGGTGTTTTCCTTCAAACAAGTGTGTGTCTGTTGCTGTAGAAGAAGAAGGAGGAGGAGAAGGAGAAGAAGGAGCTATGTGGCTGTATGTGTGTGTGTGTGTGTGTTTGTGCGTATCCCTGTTACTTTTAATGTGGGGACATTTTGCAGGTTAAAAATTAGGGAATAGGAATAGATTATGGTCAGATTACAGTTGGGGCAAGGATTAATGTCTATGTGAAGTGCTCACAAAAAAAAAACAAAAAACGTGAAAACAGTTTGTTATAGCTGTGTAACTATGTCAGGCGTGGGGAAATTTTTTTGACTCGCGGGCCAAAATTTGTCCTAAAATTTGACAGTGGGGCCGGGTGAGAAGCAGATGGATAGAGCGTTGGTGTGAACTAAGATAAATGACATGTAAATGTCATGCATTAAGGGTAAATGCTAAAATGCTCTTATCATTTTCTATGCCATCTATTGGGGAAACGTGGGTAAAGTATGATGATAAATAAAGATATAGATCAATTATATCATTTGGAAAAGTTTGGCAGGCGGGATTAGAAAGCTAAACGGGCCGCATCCGGCCCCCGGGCCTTAGTTTGCCCATGCCTGATCCATGTCCATCACAGTATTAGCGCATTCTCTTATGTGGTACACACATCACCAGGCCTTAGTTTGCCTATGCCTGATCCATAGAGCATTCTCTTATGTGGTACACACATCAGGTTCAAAGGTCATGCATATTCGGCAACATTGGCCACTGCTGGCCAAAGCACTCTCCCACTCTCAAACACACACAGAGCTGTGTGGATCATCAATTTCCACCTAAGTCCATTGCCTGGTATACTACTAACTCAGGAATGGAACCTGTCTGACATTGACTTTGTCTGACTTTGTCCAAACCTTTCCATGAGTATGACAGAACTCAACTGCTGCAGTTTTAACTTTGTTTCCCACTACCCGAGTCGATCCATCTGAGCGATGCACACATACAGTATATGTGTGCATGACAACGGAAAACTATTTCATCAGTCAGGACACCAGTATATTCTAGTATTCGATTCACACCACACCTGTAGACCTTATACTTTTGGGTATTTACTGACAGTAAAAAGATATTCAGGGCATTTCCAGGGACAAAAACAAAAGGTCTTCACTCTGCCGGGTTCAAAGAAAAAGAAAACTGTTCCCCTTCAAAGTACGTGAGGAGGAAACAAGTGGCCTTTTACCAACAGACAGAGGTTCAGGTTCGACAACTTCTCTGGGGGATTCGACACATTCCCTAACTCTCCCTTGACGTTCCAGGATTTCCAGGACTAGCAGGAGTCATCTTACTGTCTGTTCCAGTCCTGCTGTGCAGCACACAGATCAAATTCAATGACCCTTTAACCTCTCTCTCTCTCTCTCTCTCTCTCTCCCTCTCACTCTCCCCTCCTCTCCCTACCCCTTCCATCCCCCTCTCCATCCTTCCTCCTCCTTCCTCCTCCTCATCCCCTGAGGTCACTGCTCCATCACTCCTGCTGCCTTCCCCGCCTGCGGTACTGCTGTGGTAACACAACACTGACTGCTGCCCGTTTCTATGGCAACCATTCCCCTGAGAAACAACCCCCCCCCCATCAGCAGCATCCTCAGCAAAATACACACACACACACAAACATTTTAGATGACCGTTTCTAGTAAAAGAAGGTGGAGATTCACCTTTCTTCCCATCAGCAGGTCTAACTATAGATGGAGAGAAGGAGAGAAAGATAGAGAGAGGGAGAGAGAGAGAAAGATGGAAAGCAAGAGAGAGAGATATAGAGAGAGAGGAGGGATGAGAGACGGACAGACAGAAAGTTGCCAGTTCAAGTAGACAAATGAAAGAAATAAAGTTTTTTGTGCTTGGTTCAAATGCAGTAGGTTTGACAGATGAGCCAATCTGACCAATCAGAGTTTTTGTACTGAGAAATAACAAGTTAACTTAAAACGTCATCTAACATGCTTGAACTGCTTCGGTCCTTCTGTCTCTAAAAAACTGATTTCAGTCTCTTAACAAGAGACTGACCAACAATGGATCCTCCATCAGGTAAAGTGTACAACCGAACGACATTGTTTACACTCGCCTAAGTTTTCGTTACACTGTTTCTTTGGACTGGAAATGGAAGTTTGCACAACTTCATCAACTACTCACTCTCCCATACAGAAGGCCGCAGAGAAAATATCGGCTTAAGACAGAAAGCGCGAAGTGTCAGGAAGCAGTAGATTTAAATCTTAGGTCTACACACGGTGAGACACTTACGAGAGCTGACCGTGTCCACATACTGAGGGAGGTAAGGCGCCCACATGTCGATGGTTTCCTTGCGTCCACATTGGCCGATCCTTCTTAGCTCCGCCAACAGAAGGGCCTGTGCAGCTTCTCGCACCTGGGACCAAACACAGTCAAGTTTTAGAAATTAATTTATTATTTTATATAATGGTAATATTTCTATTATGATTATTGAGACTACAGAGGTCACAATACCAATACTGTATACGTAAGTGATGAAATTTTAGGTTTGTTAAACTTTATCTGAACATTGTCGTCTTTGATTAACAGCAGTAAATGATTTAACCGTCTTAATAACCCCCGAATGTCAACACATCTGGGATTAAGTATATAATATAAACAAAATAATTGCTCTTACTTTAAAAAAAAAAAAGAAAAATATTATAAACACAAATTAGAAAAGCCTTAATATTAGAAAATATTAAGGCTCGCTATTCATATAATATTGACACATCTGGGATTAAGTATATAATATAAATAAAATAATTACTCTTATTTAAAAAAATATATAATATTAATAGAAAGCCTTAATATTAGAAAACATTAAGGCTTGTTATTCATATAATATTGATAGACATGGTCATAAAAAGTCTCCAAATCTAGCGCCAAAGTTAAAACTAGAAACTGATGACCTGCTTTTATTTGCAAATGTGATTGGCTGGTAGAAGCATGTTGGGAAATTTGGAAGCGCTAGAAATACTCAATATTACCCAACGAAGAGAGTGTGACAGCACTGGAGCTACATTTAGCTGCTTTTGTTGAATAGAAATTCAGGTAGAAGCAAGAAGAGGTAATCATTTTCCAGGGTAACTTCAAGGACTTCAAGGATGTGTTTTTGTTTCATGACAGTAAGATATGTCATTCATTTTCCAGGTTATGTGTGATTCCCGTTTGTGTACATTTCAACATCAATAAATATAAGATGTGATTGTTACCTCCAAACAGCGGTCCTGCCATCTCCGGGCCAACATCTCCAGTAGAGGTGGTCTGTACTTGTCCAGGCCCAGAAGGTCAGGAAGCATCACACAATGCATGGCTGCCAACTGACTCCAACCTACACACACACAGACACACACACACACACAGGTACAGCATTACCATAGGGAGAGTTGTACTGGTGCACAAACCTCACTGCTGTCAAGGTTTTATTGAACCACTCAACCTGATTTCTTTACTGTGGGAGTTCTCTGTTGAAAGATTGTCTGAAGGTAGGTCAGAACCAACCATCACTAGGGGGCAGTAAATTAAAGTTACCACAAGTAAAATGACAGGATTCACCTGACATCACCAACAAGGCTGATGAGATTCTTCAACGTTAGGGTAACTAATCCTAAAAGTAAATTAAACTCATCATGTAACTATCCTGAAGTACAGTCAATATTATGAATTATCAATATCACGGTGTAAAAACATTAAAGCGACTGTGACTATTCCCTGGCAATAATGTTAAATTCACCACCTCCATACGGTCCATATTCTCATTACTGCTAAACATCACGTGTGACAGCAGTGAGTTTCCCGAATAAACAACAACTTTATCGTCATCGTAAACACACTAACAACACATTAACAAATGGCGGGAAAATAACTGACACTGTATTTAGTGTACGTTGTCATTTCTGAACCAGAGCTGGGTTTTGTGCGAAACGCTAAATGTTTTGCTATGTTGTTTCCAAAGGAAACAGCTGGGTTTTGTGCGAAACGCTAAATGAAAAATTTATGAAGAATTATCGGAACAAAAGTTTCAATGCGTTTGAATGCGTCAGCATCCATGTGTTTTGCGTTGCTCTAAGTCAAGACATGTTATTTGCACATATTGAAGGACGAATTAAATATCATCTCAATGCTTATTGTGTTTGTGTCTAGTTTAACAGAGACAGCCCACGACTCTAGAATGACACAATTGTCAGATGGATCATTGAGTGACTGAAGACTGATTAATATGGTTGAAAAAAAAAAAAATTCACTGAATTCTGAATTCTTTTGACAGAAACTCTTGACAAGTGACCATCACAATGGTCCAACAACTCCATAAAAAACAACACTGAGTTATACTTTTACATATTTTTTTTTCATATTAATAATTCCACCATAATTTTATCCTATTTAGAAATGTTGATTCATCTGGATTAATCCTCATCTATAACTGTGAATAATTGGGACATTAGTTTTAACTGAGCGACAACATAAGAAGCATTGTTATGGCAGAGCGAGGGAATCAGCTGTCTGCACATTGGTTTGTGTCAATTCTGTTTACTGCACTGTGGTTCACATCAGAAATGTAAAATGTCAAAACATGGGTTTTAAAAATCCATTCCTGTTTAACACGTACAGCAAAGACCACTTTAGACTATCTGAAACATCTAGTGCACAAGTGCTTCCCAGAATGTCATCCATTTTTACGTCCTCAATGCCTCTCAGTAAAAACAAAAGAGACAGTGGGGTTACGTTAGGACAGCAGGATAGCTTTTTTTTGTGTGGAGAAATTCACCAAAACATGCTAAAAGTGGTTTATTTATGTTTGAGCGGTGCAGAACCCAGGACTAATTATGTTTAGTTTGTCCAACTTTGTAATAAAGGGAGCAAAACCTTTGGTTACCACGTGCACATTTTTAGGTGACGCTCGAATGACATCAGTTTTATACCAATTTCTTGGCATAAACAATTATTTCCCTCACATTTATTGTGGTGATGACAGCACATTATTGCATTATCTGAATTGAATGAATTGAAATATGGACTGAAAGATTCATTTCATCAAAAACAAGCACCAAAAACCACATATATTGTAATGATCAATATATGGTTCCCAAGGAGAATGATAGCAGTAAGATGAGTAAAAATGTACTTCTGAGGTTTTTGAGTAGGAAAGAAATTCCAATACTGTAAATTTCTTTTCCAGGCGATGTACACAGGACTTACCTTTTCAGAACAGGTATAACAGGTATATACAGAAACCAGCAATACTCTATGCAGAGGTTGACAGATTTAAATGATTTTAAAAACAGTGACATGTCAACTAATCAGTCAACCTTTAGTTAGAAAAACTTGAAAACTGTCTTGCAGAAAACTCATCATAAAACTCATTTTAACAAAGGAGTCTATGATATTTATACTTTCTTCCATCTTCAAATATTTACATTTTCCTCCAGCTCAAAACTCAGGGGCTGAAAATAAGGAAGAAAGAACCTGGTGGTTCTGTAGTACTGGATTTAACATCATTTTTTTCTGAAAATGAGGTTTACATTTCCAGATAAATAAAGGTCATTTTTTTCCTCTATAAAAAAAAAATAACAGCACCAACTGGCGAAATCAGGTTTCTGCAGGTCAGTATCAAACAAACACACACAATGCATAAACATTAATACGGTCCTTGTTCAAAAGAATCTACTGGTACAGCCAGGGAAGGAGTCTCTGTGTGCATGCTTGCTGTTTTCTTTTTTTTTTTTTTTTTTTTTTAGAATAAACCTTTAAAAAATGACATGCAAAAAGTTTTTCATTTATAAAGTCACTTTTGCCGATGTACCAAAGAATCAAAATTGAAATCACATTCATTGTTCCAGAAAGCGGGCAACGAACCAACAACCTGTAAGAAAAAATGACTGCAGTTTAAGAAGAAAAATAAGTCGGATCTCACGTTTTCTGTACCTTGTTTGTAGATCATTTTTCAATTTTGTAGTTTGTAGAGTCATATTTAATAATGTTTTTTAAAGTGTTGGGTAAATTGGGACTATTTATATTCAAGTGAACATATTGTGGGACTATTTATATTCAAGTGAACATAACTCGAATTGAATTATGTTTTGTGACATTCACTGGTTCAAGCAGGTGAAAATAGCAAGCATGCAAACAGAGAGCAAAGACACGCAGAGACATTAGGACATCTAGGCTCAGAGACAGAGAGACATTAAACAGCAAATAAAAGGACGTTGGGGCAGGACATAGAACTGCTTTAAATGCACCTTCAAATGTGTCAGATTCACTTATTTGCAGATGACCCAATGTTTGTGTCTTTAAACGGAGGGCTTGTGTTTTTTTACTTGTAGTCGTTGGTTTTGGAGCAAATTGAATGATTAATATGGGCCTAAAGGTTTGACCAGGTACATATTTATTAGTAGTATTGTCTGATAAACTGTTAATTTAGGCTTTCAAAATTATTATAACACAAATACTACCATATTTGGTCATATTCGACATCTTAACTGGAAACAGTGAACTCATTCTGCACCGATTTCTCAAAACTGACAGGATTGAAAGTGGACTAAAGTCAGTGAGGACGGACAGGTACAAACGGATACACACAGTGCTGCAGACCAGAACGAGGACAAAACTGGAGCGAGACACCTGAGATGAAAACCCAACACTTGCTGCAGGGGGGGAAAAACAAGACTGATGCAAGAGAAGAGATATGAGGCGACGAGACCCGAGGAGAGAAGATGAATAACTGATAGAGAGAGCATAGGGGAGGGGAAGAATTATGATGACATAAAGACAGAGAGTGAAAGCGGGAGAGTACAATGAAAAATAGAAAAAGGAGGGGAAAATGAAAAGGTTATGGAATGTGGGGAGGAGAGAAGGGAGAAACTGAAAGACAGGAGAAAGGACACTACAGGAGAGAAGATCCGGTAGAAAAGGATTTCCAAAGACAAAGTAAAGAAGTATGGCTGCGAAACGTTTCCTAAGTGGTACCCGTCAGGTCAGTCTGTACCTTCATTTACTGTGGGGATGTTATAAGAAGCAGAGCCGGGGCTGAGGGAACCAGAGGCCCCCTGGGCAAGACCCCCAGGGGCCCCCGGAACCCCAGCAGCAGTGGCAGAGCTGATGTTGGCTGCGGCAGCTACAGCAGCTTGCAAAGGAAGAGAAGGAGAGAAATAGTCAAGAGGAAAGAACAGGTTAGGAAAGTATGCAGTCAATATACAAAGATATATAGAAGGAAACGAAACAAGTCGTCAGGAATGAATTAACGCAATGATAGCAAAGAAACAAAACCAAAAGAAAAACCCACAGAGAGCGTAACGTAATGTTGGTATTTACATAAGACTAAATAATCCTTAGAAAAACATAAAAGGAAACAAGTTACAGCTTAGTACGGCAGAAATGACCCAATTAAAAATAGAAAATTTTAGGAACATAATCCATGCCGCGTTGCACCACAACACCGTCTGGGAGATTACATCATGTGCTACATTAGTAGATCCAGAGATTGGACAGAATCTTCGTTGTGAAACTTGACTTGATGAGAAAGCAATAAAGGATTATCCACAGAAACTCAGAGAGTGATGGGAACCGTTGTAAGAAGGCACAGACGGTTACAAAATCCACAGTAAGAAGGCGAAATATTCGCTGTTAGATTGATGCTAAAAAAAATGAACCTTCACAAACCAAAACATTATTTTTTGCCAAACCCCAAGACAGAGACTAAGACGTGAAAGGATATAGGAAATATAATGAAAAAAAAATTACTAAGCACCTGCCTGTGTCATTCTACATCGGTTATAAAATTACAAATTACCTTACTTAATTTGTTTATTTTAGAGAGATTCTTTAAAAACAGCCTGTAGATCCAGAGGAATTACAGCTCTACATTATTAAAAGGCTTTTAGGCAACAACTTCAAAAGGAATATGAAAAATGTAAAGGGTGTGTATGGTTAGACAAAACAAAATCCATCATATAAGACAGTATACGTACACTGTATATTTATCTTACAATAAGTAAGTAAACAAGTTTCATTTTCTTTAAGCCCAGAAATATGAAACTTGGTATTAACAAAGATCACATGATGCTACTTACTTCCCATCACATGAATTTGACAACAAACGACGGAAGCACGGTTCTTTTTGACACACAAAAAAAGTGTTTTTCTTGCATTAACAGACACTTCACAAATCAGACGCAACAGGTACCTCTCATTATTAAAACAGATTGGATGCAAGAGAAAACCAAAGATCACAGAAATAGGAGAATACGTCCTGTGATCGTGAAGAAAGGAGGAGAGGTTGAAAGGAGAGCATAGAGAAAGAAAGATAGCAAGGAGACAAGAAAGGAGTGTATATTGACCAACAGATGGACATAGTGAATGGGAGACACACTGTGGGACCATAGTGTTTGCAGTGGCAGCGTGAAGCCATGCAGTCAACAACAGTGGGAAGATCGGAATAGACAGAAGAACACTGAAAGATAGACACTGAAGATGAGAGCAGTCAACGACAGCCTGGGAGCATAGGTGTGAGCAAATAATGGGTCATTTTGAATGAGACGTTGCTGCAAATATATATTTGCTCTACATCATCATCACTGATGACTCAGTAAAAACACTTTATAAGATGGATTTCTCTGAGAGAAGCCTGGATGATAACATTAGGTTATGCTGTATGCAGACGATATGTTACTGTTCTCCCCCAAAGTTTTAGACCTTCAGTTTTAGACTTTGATTTTTCGATATGGATTTTATAAGTACCTATACTGATGACAAGGAGAGAAAGATTCTTGACACATAATGACTTTCCGTGGGCAATATTATCTTATTGTCTCAATATAGGCCAAGTCTGGTAGAATTCAAATGTTAAAAACACTCTTATTTCTCCAACAACACTTCAAACAAATTCCACCGTGTTGAGGCATGCCGCAAAATGCTAACAGAATCACAAAATGTCTTCACATGTACATTACCATGTCAACCAGGACTAAATTTCGGGCACATGAGCTGCATTGCAGCCAGCAGGCATAAAGTGTTCACCTGCTCCAAGCATTAAAATATTTAACGTTTTTTTTTTTTGTTCCAGTGTAGTCTGCTTTTTCTAGAACTTCTCTAGAAACTCTAGAAAACTTTTTTTTTAAAACTCTTTGAATACCTTCCTTTCTTCCTCTTTTTCCTTCCTTTATTAATTTTTTTTTTAAATAAAAAAAATAGTACAATTTCTGATTTGACACATTAAAAGCTTGAAGTCTAGGATTTTTTTAAGTCTACATTCTGAAGTAGCAAGTCTAACATTTGGTACGTTTTACACCCTGTTTGGTCTCTTTATATTCCTCTGAGTGGCGCAGTATATTAGAGGGGCCTCCTCATTTATTTCCATGTGAAAAGAAACACAGTGCTCTCTCCTTCCCTCTCACACACAAACGCATGTGCGCACGCGCGCACACACACACACACCCCAGGTTGAAGTAGCTGGCTGTGTGGAGGTCACGGCCCAGGGTTCTCTCTGAATGCTGGTGAATAGGCGTGTGGCATGAATAAGTCCCTGTGCTGATCACACTTGGCCTCCATTAGCGTGGGACAATAGCAGTGAACAACAGCACCCCCACCTGAGGGCGCCACCCATGGCACATGTGTGTGTGTGTGTGTGTGAGCTCGTGTGTGTTTGTGTGTGTGTGGTAGGCAGATGGTGACGGCTGGTTAAAACTGTTCCCTGCAGCGACACAGAGCAGGGTTCTCTTCAGCATCAAACACTTTCTTTTCCTAAGTGAAATTCTTGCTCTCGTTCTCCTTGGTTATTGTTTAGGTCTACTCTCGTTTATACACCACTTCCTGTCCTTTCAAATATGTTAAGCTTTGTTTAGACAGTCCAGTCCAGTTGAATAACTCAAACTTACACACCCAAAAATAAAAAAATGTATCCAAACCTGTACCTGGTCACGACTTTGCATACAGCAACTTTTATAATGTTGTTTAAATATGTTTTTCATTTTTTGTCTTTTAACACCACTGGACACAATGGTTTACAGAGAGATCGGACACATAATGCAATGGTGACACAGGTGCATCTACTCACTAAGAGTGCTCCCATCAAGCTGAGTGCGAACAGTTCTCCTAGTTCACCGTTTCCACAGCAGGATATTTGGTTTACGTTAGCTGTGGTTTCCCTAAAACAGCCAATTTGCTTGTGCTGCCTGGGACTGCTTGTAAACAACATATTGTCTTTTCAATGCTGTCTATGAGCAACAACTCAAGGTAGTGTTGATGATTGCGGGTTTGGATCATTGTAAAGATGTGGTTTGACATTTAATGGAGTATGGTTCTTTTTCTAACTGATGGCAAGGTTCATAAATTTTAATTTGTAAAGAACAAAAAAAAAACCTGCATTTAAAAACATGGAAAAAGTCCTGCAAAGCCCCACAGAGTGGAACAGCAGAGGCTTCGTGCTGTGAGATTTTGGAGGGTTTTTTTTTGTTTTTTTTTGTCTTGTACAATTCTCTGTAGGTTTTATTGCCAGTGGGCTGCATTATCAAGCTCATGCCCCACCCTCCCTGCACGACCCTGGGGATGTGTGATGTGAGTACCCCTCTTTTTGTAGTTACCTTGTTTGATCTGGGCCTGTAGCGCCGGGCAGGAGGGCTGAGGGGGGACGGCCGGCGTCCTGCGAGGAGACTCCGGGGTTCCTCCTGGTCTGGGAGGCCTGCAGGAGTAGATCACAAAGGAGGAGGAGGCATGAAATATTTAAGGAGGGATGGGAGGAGGAAGAGAAGAAGAGCCAGGACACACACAAAGACAAAATAATATAAAGATACACACTTCCATATATAAGACCAAGACTTCACCCAAACAGTTTTGAAGCACAAGATTGAATTTCTTTGTGTACGTGTGTCTGTGTGTGTGTGTGTGTGTTGTCTTTCACAGGCTCCAGTCTATTGAATTTTGGGTGGAGGACACCATCCAGAGTCTGAACAGACTGGAGGCGTCTCTAACTTCCAGAGACACACAAACACTTCCAATACAACAATCAATGATGCGATCGATGGCCGTTACCAGGCAACACATGGCTGTTAGGGAGCTCCACGGGAAGGAGGTTCAAAATTTGGGAAAAACTAACTATGTAAGAGGATTCTCGGATCAAGAAGAAAAAAATCATTTAAATTAGCAGCTTTTAAGTTGGTGCCAAGGTTTAGATAAGAGTCAGGTTAATGAACAAATCCAACATGCAGGACAGGAAAACGGCAACTAAGACTAAAGTGTTCTTTGTGGTTTCCTCAGATTGTTAATAAAGAGGAAAAAATGACAAAGAATTGACACAAAGTGTGTGTTTCTGTGTGGTGAATCACAGTTAGTTCTCTCTCATACTGGAGGGGAAAAAAAGGTTTAATTAAAAAGACGTAATCTCTTTGAAATGCGTTCCAGGTTCTGTTTCTAAATTACTTCATGTTATGTTCAACAAATTGAATTGGTTTTAAAGAACAGGTTAATTAGAGGTTTTTTTTTTCAATAATTCATTCAAAGTATTTGTGTCAGCGCAGTTGCTCTTCTTGTTTTCTGCATGGAAAAAAAAACAGCTGTTGTTTTTTTTAAGAAATTTAAATAAAAAAAAATAAAAAAATTACAACTTCTATTTTATATTTAAAAACATTTCACACATGGCTATAAATACGTTTACAGTTACATGTTTTTGAAGCCTAGGATGCCGGTGTTCTATCAGATTAAGATGCCTATAGTTTGATACATGGTGTACTTTTCTGATGCTGATGATGAATTGTTCTATCAGATTTGTAGGCACAACCATTTTTCACAAATAAGTAATATATTTCATTCATTTTAAATGTTGCATCCATGTATAAACTTCTAAAGTCAAGTTCATCTAAAAACAGTGTTAATGTTAAATAGTATTAGGTATATTAATCCCTTAGGGAGTTATTCACCCATCAGAAAGGCATACTGTGTATAAAACTATACTGTACAAATCTGACAGTGTAGGAAAATAATAAAAAAACTGAACAAATTAAACTATGTTGTGGAATGTAAAGAACTTTAAAAAATAGAAAAACAAAATAGGAAACATACATACACACACACACACACGTACAGACACATTTATTTTTTTACACAGATGAGGCGGTGAGGTGCATTCAGGGAAACACTGGCCAAAAAAACATGCACCTGCTCACACTCCCACCCCTCTATCCACACTGACTCACCCACACACACACACACACACACACACCTGCTCCTACTGCCTTTCACTGTAACACACACAAAAGAGATACACT